AGGTTGACATACTTTAGAAAAAGTTTTTTTTTCAAAATATTAGGGACCCGTCAAATTTTTGAGGGCCTTGAGCTACCCCTAAAAATATTTTTTGTTCAAAAAAATTTTAAACCTAGTGTTTTTGTATTAGATAAAACACATTTAGGGGGTACCAGCAGGTTTTTCTCAAAAAAGTTGTTTTAAGCACCACCCTAATATATATATATATATATATATATATATATATTTAGATATACATATATATATATATATATATATGTGTATATATATATATATATGTATATATATATATATATATATATATGTATATATGTATATATATATATATATATATGTATATATGTATATATATATATATATATATATATATATATATATATATATATATCTTACTAAGACACGTACCTTGCAAAAGACATTGTAAAGGTTGCCGGCAGTTACACGTTGGAACAATTGTGAAATATTACATAATACTTTTTTATTGTGTGAGTTAATAATATTAGTGAAGTTTGGAAGACAGTTATAACTGACTTTTAAATTATTCCTATTAAAAATTTTGTGAAATTTGTGTGTTTTTGGAAAATGCTTTTCAGTGACGTCAAAAATAGGATCACCAAGTTTTTTGACCGAGATACTATTGTGTTCAGTAAACAGTAATAATTTTCTTGAGTGATTAATAATATCTAATGTGTTTTCTGAAATTTCTGTAAATTGGTTGGCGTGAATAAGTGAAATTTTAATTCTTTAGAGAATTACTTCAAATTAAATAACTCTTTGATATCAAACTAAATGAAAGTGCAGTTGCGTTTGTTTTTAATATTGCGGAACCAATTTATTCTATCTCTAAAGAATTACTTCAAATTTCACTTATTTACGCCAAGCAATTTACAGAAATTTCAGTAAACACATTAGATATTATTAATCACTCAAGAAAATCATTAGTGTTTACTGAACACAATAGTATCTGGGTCAAAAAACTTGGTGATCCTAATTTTGACATCACTATGGGAAGTTATGATGAGACTTGTGTGTGAGTTAGTTGGACTATGGGTTGCAAACTGTTGGATTATATAGAGATGATGGACCGCAATCCGAGAGAATAAAGAAAAACATTGTTTGTCTTTTAAAGAAAAAATGTAATCTGAAACTTATTATAAAAACCAACTTAAAAATTGTAAACTTTCTTGATGTTACCTTCAACCTGTTAGAAAATACTTTCCAGCCATACAGAAAACCAGGTGACCACCCATTATACATCAACGTAAATTCTAATCACCCTCCTAGTATTATTAAATTCATACCAACTATGATATCTAACTGTTTTATGCAATATTTCATCTAGCAAGTACATTTTTGATAGAGCAACATCTTTTTATAACAACGCGTTAGCAGCAAGTGGGTTTAAGGATTTGATTACTTTCCAAAAAAATATCGCCCCATTAAAACCAAAATCAAAATCACGAAACATTATTTGGTTTAATCCTCTGTTTTTGCAAAATGTAAAAACTAGCATCACAAAAACTTTTTTAAATCTTATTGAAAAGCATTTTACAAAAAAGTTTCGCAAAATTTGTCAGTTATAGCTGTCTTCCAAACACAATAAAAAAGTATTATCTAATGTTTCCAACACAATTGTTCCAAGATGTAACTGGTGGCAACCTTCACAATGTCCTTTGCAAGGTACGTATCTTAGTAAAAATATAATTTACGCCTGCAATGTAAAAACATCACCGATAGTGGTTTAAATTATATTGGTTTAACAGAGCACACCTTTAAAGATCGCTGGTACAAGCATAAAACTCCTTTCAATACAAAATTAAAGCTAATGCCACAGAACTTTCTAAATATATCTGGAAAATGAAAAAAAAAGGGATTTACAAATCCTATTATTATGTGGAAGATTATTGATAGAGTGGAACCTTTTAAACCTGGAAGAAAGTTATGTAACCTTTGTTTAACAGAAAAATACCATATCATTACATCATCTTTGAAACTATTAAATAAACAAAATGAATTAATATCTAAATGTTGCCACAAAAACAAATTTCTTATCTGCAACTTTAACATCATCTAATCTAACACTGTATTGTATTTTTGTATATAATTATTGTTGTTGTTATCGTCGTTTGTAACGTCTGATGATCACATAAAGCGTGAAACTCTGAGTTATGTTACAAATTTAATTGTATTTTATTATTATCTTAATATAATATATTTGCTCTACTTTTGTATTGAGCACTGTCTACCAAAAAATTATTCTTATTACTGGTATATATATATATATATATATATATATATATATATATATATATATATATATATATATATATATATATATATATATATATATATATATATATATATATATATATATATATATATATATAGAGAGAGAGAGAGAGAGAGAGAGAGAGTGTTTTTGTATTTAATTAGGTGGTTTCAAAAGTTTTTGAAAATGTCTGACCCTCTAAATATGTTATTTATAATTAAATAATGCTGCATTTAAATTTTTTTTTAATCAAAAATATTTTTAGGCGTCTCTCAAAATCATAGAACATTAAAAAAACAAAAAAAAGTTCTTCAAAAAATAAAATAACCAGAGTTAGTAACTGAAATCGGTCTTGAAAGGAAAGTATACAAAAAATTTCCAAAATATTAATCATTTTATAAAGCCTAATTAAAAAATGTGTACATCAAAAAATATTTGTTGTTGTTGTTGATATTTTGTTTTGGATCTGTTGTTAAATTTTTCATTGATTAACCTTTTTATTTTTTGTTAGAGATGTTATTCATTAAAATAAAGAATGGAGTTTTAATTTGTTATTATTTTATCACTTTTTTCTCTCTTTAAATTCATTTTCTGTACAACAAAAGCAAAATGGGTTTCAATAATTTTTTAATTCTTTTTTTATTTTTGTTTTTGTTTGCACACTGTTAATTTAAAAACATTCTACAATTCACTTCAATACTTTATGCTATACCATATACTATTTAAAACTCTATCCAATAGTATTATACTAATACTTTTACTTTATAGTTTATATGTTCATACATTTTTATGCCATTTGCGTATATCATGGGTGTAAGCTGGAATGATTCTTTTGCAGTCGCTAAATTACTTGGCATCAAAACATTTTTAAACGAGTTTATTGCATACCAACAACTGTCAACGCTGATTTCAAATAGGATTTTAAATGTTAGTGCAGAAAAATTATCTGTAAGTTATTTTAGTTTTTTTAACTATATCAACTGTTACATGTGTAATTTATCTATATTAGCAGTTTTTATATTTCACAAAAATTTTAACGCTCTTTTTTTTTGTGAAGCACTAAATTTAATTAAATGGGTTTATAGAGATTGTAAAAATATAATGTTATTTAATATTATTTATTTTAAATAATATTAATATAATAAATAATCTTTGAATGTCATTTTCTTGTTATACGTTAAAATATGGTTAGAATTCAATAAATACGGCTGCGTATAAACTTTTTTTAAATATATATATATATATAATTTTTTTTTTTTAAATAATTATATAAATAATTATATATTAAAGAAAATAAATATATATTAAAGAAATAATTATATATAAATAAATATATATTAAATAAATAATTATATATTAAAGAAATAATTATATATAAATAAATATATATTAAAGAAATAATTATATATTAAAGAAATAATTATATATAAATAAATATATATTAAAGAAATAATTATATATTAAAGAAAAAAAATATATATATTTAAAAAAGTTTATACGCAGCCGTATTTATTGAATTCTATCCATAATATAATAAATGTAAAAACTAAATTAAACTTAACACATATATTTCAAATATATCAAGATTATATAAGTTATACTTACTATATATATATATATATATATATATATTATATATATATATATATATATATATATATATATATATATATATATATATATGACAAATGAAATTCAAATGCTTCAGGATAAAAACTCTAGTTTGTAAGAAGAGCTAGAGTATCTTCCAAAAAAAAACTTTTCCACATCAGGTACACACTACTAAACCATCTTATTTAGACATAACCAAAATAAGAACAGCTTCAAACTATGCCCTTATGAAAAAGTACTAATTCAAAGTACAAAGATATTTTTATTCAACCTGACCATACCCTGTTTGAACAAGCTAATTTTAATAAGTTGAACCTAGAAAAGAAGAAACTTAATGATGAACTTAAAACCATTTTTAAATTTGATAAGCTTTTTTGATATATTGTCCACGGAGATACTATTCTCTGCATTGACATCACCCAAAAAATTATTATCAATTGAGTCAAAAAAATATGCCTTTGTGGAACAAAAAAAGGACAGCAGATGCAAAGACGTTCAAAACCATTCATTGACTGGTAGTGGTTGATTCATCACAATCAACAACTACCACAATTAACAACTGGTTGTTGTTCGTTTATCACAATCAACAGCTACTAGTCAATAATACACATCAAAATCAATACATAATAGCTTTTTATACTCTTGTATACTAATGCTACGTCTCTAGACCAAAACAAACTTCTGTAACTTTTAATAGCAGTTGTTAACTATAAATTCGATGTCATTTTTGTCCCTGCGACCTTGTTTAACAAATTTTTTGATCCATTTCCTCCGAATTATAAAATTTTCAGAAAAGACAAAAAACTCATGTTTGGGGGTACTGCAATTTATGTCAGTTATAGTTTTACCGAAAGTGAATTTGAAAGTTCTAAAGTACATTTAAAATCTCAAGTCAAGCACTCTGAACAATTTTAGTTTAAACTCTATTTACTCTTCTTTTTGGTTGCATTTATTGCCCACCAGTAATAAGTGCAACTAAAGCTAGTGAAATTAAAGCCTTTAATAAAATTGGAAACACTATTTCTTATGCCAAATCATTTACTAAATAAAAAGTTTTGCAAATCTATTCAAAAGTCTTGCAAATCGTTATGGGTGATTTTAACTTTCCTAACATCAAATGGAAAAAAAGATTGATATTATCTTGAGATGAGAAGTGGGTACTCTACTTAAACCACACCAAAGCCGGTGGTTAGGGCTAACAAAATAGTGTTTCTTTTGGTTTGGGGAGACTCAGCATTGTGTACTGGGAACAGCCTTAGTTAAACATTACAATTACTTCAGAAACTCCACTAGTATTAAGCACAACTTTTAAAAAAACACCCAAGACACGACAAAGTTTACTTCTTCCACGAAAAGCCTATTTATGCATTTTAAGTAATAAAGCAAAAATTATTAGAGTTTGATTAAGAAGTGTTGCTTTATTCATCCTACTTGCCTTACTTAATCCCAAAAATATTGATATCACTAAGCTATGATCACTATGCTACAAGCATGTATTAAAAATTTAGAATCAAGGAGGCTCTCTAACAGCACCTCAATCAGTTCTTTGATTTAAAGACTTTAAAGTGCTATACCAACAGCATTTGTTTTTTGTCTAAGGATTGGCAAGAGATCATTGACAATAATGGTTATATTATTGCATATTATTTATGTAGAGTTAAAAATAATTAATTTTATTTTATAAAAAAATACTCATTTACTTTTAGTTGAAATTCATTTTGAACACTTTTGCAAAGGCTGTTATGTTAGAGTTTTTATTGATTTCTTATGTAAAGGCTGTTTTTAACTAATTTTGAACATAAAGATGTAACTTAAAAAAAAAAAAAATTAATATTTTATCAAAACTGTGTTGAATTTCTTTTTTATGTTAAATTTTATTGAAACTTTTACAGCAACGTTCAGAAGTAATCACTACTTATGCACTGTGTGGCTTTGCTAATTTTGGTTCTATGGGAATCCAATTAGGAGGATTAAGTTGTCTTATTCCCAGTAAAAAACAATGTTTAGCAAAGTTGGTATTCAGAGCACTTGTATCTGGAACATTAGCATGTTTTATGACTGCTTGTATTGCAGGTTTGTTTTTTATTTTATTTGTTTATTTTTTATCAACTCTCAACAAGGCTGCAACTAACCACTAAAAAAGTAAGAAGTTAACTATCTTAACAGATGCTAAATTTACAATAGATTGCATATAGCATTTTTGCTAGAGGTCGGTAATAAATGATAATCTGAGAAGACATAAAGTAAGGTAAAATACAGTAAGGTAGATTCAGTAAGGTAGATTCAGTAAGGTAGATTCAGTAAGGTAGATTCAGTAAGGTAGATTTAAGATGTAGTAAGGTAGTGAGTTTCTATTTATCAATATAAGAGTATCAACAATACTGTGATAATTATTAACTACTGAGATTTGTTTAGCTTGAAATTCACCAGTCACTGCAAGCCCCAAGCTGTCACAGAAAATTGATCACATTCAAGATGGGCTGCTTCTAAGTTCTAAGTAATCAAAAAAAGTCATGACATTTGCAGATAGATCCACTTTAAAGGTAAAATTAGGAAAATCATTAACTTAGATGAAGAACAATACTGGACCATGGATGAAACCTTTTGGGACCCCAAAATTTACTGGAAATGAAAAAGAGTTGTCCATCGAGAACAACTGTGGTCAGAAAAGAATGATTCAATAATTTTAAATTTTTAATAGCAATAGAGGTTTAGAGGTCTTAGCAGAATAACTTGTTTCTTTGAGATGAAAAGAAGAATGCGATCATTAGATTCAAGAGATAAAGTAGTGGAAAAGTTCTTTGCTTCTTAGTTCTGCCTTACTCTTGGGTGAGGTAATATGATCACGCCTTCAAGACTCAATTTAGTTTTTTATAAAGTCCCGGACAAAATGTTCGTTCTAAACTTGTTTGGGTCGGACAATGTCTGATCAAATTTTTAAAATATAATTATTACAGTTTTATGGAACCGAGTTATGCAATCAAAATCTTTGTCATGTTATTCAGTTTGTTTAACGTTAGTCTAGTGAAGTTGTAGTTTCTTTCCTTATTATTTAGAATTATTAATTATTCTACGTTTTTTGAAAATTTTTTTTTTTTAAATAAGAGTTAAAATTTTAAGCTGTAACTGACAATGCTGACAATGCTGTAATTTGACAACGGCTGTTTTGATGTTTTAACAATTTACATGAAACTAAAAAAATCTTTACGTTACGAATAACTTTTAATCATTAACCTTTTTTTAAGTTTTTATTTTTACGCAAAGACTTTAAATAAAATAAAATCAAAAATTAATTGTAACGATCGTTGAAAAATTAACACTTTATGTGTAAATTAAATGATATATTTAAATTTTTTTTTATTAGGTATTTATTTTTTACGATAAATTTAAACTATTTTATGTCGTTATAAAAATCTTTTAGAAAACAATTTTTTTAAGTTACTTTAAATTATAATAAATTTAATTTAAATTAAAACAAGTTAAATTAAATCTTTCCATGATTTAATTGTTTTATTTATTTTTCCTATTTTTACAAAGAATTGTTTAAAAGTTGTTTTTTTTTTAAACTTGACTTTTTGAAAATTGAAATATTAAAATATATGCCTTCTATGCCTGCCTTAACCCATGGGATTATAAAGACAGGCACAGTTTTCAGAGAAAAATCTTTTGTTTATGCGATACAATGATCTCAAAAAGTGACCAACGGAGCCGTCCAGTTACTTAGACCTCTATTCATCTATGAGTAAACAAGTCAATATAAATCCGCTGGTTTATTAATGGTATCTATAACTAAAATAATCGCACCATACAAATGTCTAATAAATGTGGTACTATTTGTGGTTTAAACTCTAGATAATAAGTTGAGAACTGATAATTACCTGTGTAACATAAAAATATATAAATGTCGTTAATGTAACAAATTTATAATAAAAAGCTCACAAAGAGCAAAAATTCATGGGTTTAAGAGGTAAAAAATTGTTCTCATTTTAGAGCATATTCTGAACCAAGACGACAAGGAGAAGTCTAGCACAAGCTAGGTCAAAGAATAAACCACAAATCAAGGAATAAAATAAACTATAAGGATTGTATGAAAACAAATCTCAAAGTCAACTAGTAAGAGATTGAGAAAGATAAATATTTTATCCTTTAGAGCCAGCTAGGTCAGTGATGTTAGATTCAAGATTTTCAGTGTGAATAGCTTGGATCATAAAATTCACTCAATTAATATTGGCTGAGGGATAAAAAGAAAAAGCTCGGTTAAAATCAATCAGTGTAGTCTTGGGAAGGAGAACGATAAAGAATAATAAGAAAGATGATTGAAGAGGTGCTAAGCAAATAAAAAAATAATTATAGTATCACCATGATTGGTTAAAATTTGAACAATTTTAAATTGAGTTTTCTCAAAAACAACTTTTTTATAATGATGCTTACATAATTATTTTTTTGTGAGTTTTGTTTTTGCAATGAAGAGTCTAAATGAAGAGAGTCTAAAAGTTGAAAAAAAAATTGAAATTTTACATCGAAAATTCATCATTCTCGTAATCCAATGATTTCAAAAGCATGTAAAGTTCCAAAATCAACTGTTGGAATCGTTATAAAACGTTAAAAGGAAAACAAAACTGTAAAAAGAAAATTGGTGAATTGGTGAAAAATGAAGATTTATTTCTAAAAAAAAGACAAAACCAATATTCGACTGAGTCGCAACAAGTGTCTTGTTGCGGCTGTCCTCACTCTAACCTATGCTTTTTTTTTTCTTGCGCAATTTCTAATCACAAGTAATTTCATTTTACGTGCAAGTAATTTAACAAATAGTTAAATTACTTGCACGTCGTAAAGTTAAGGCTTATATTTTGTTGAAATAAAAACTAATTTTGTAAGCATCATTATTTAAAAAATCATTACAATTGATTAAGTGGTATAGTTGAATATATACAGTTGAAGTATTGGCCCAGGGCAATCATTTGACTATTAGAGTCTTTGTGAATCAAAGGATAATTGTCATCAAAGCTGTGATTTGAAAATAAGTCTTACAAAAAGCAAGTAGATCTAGTGATTTTTGAAAAATGTAACTTTAAAGGGATGAGAAAATAGTTCGAATACCACGAATATTTACAAAGGGTAGGTTGAAACAATTTGATGGTAATGATGGTTTTTTTAATTAATATTTTTAGTACTCTGTTTATGTTTTTAATAATTAAAGAATTAGACCCAATCATAGATAGTGTATGATACCATAACCAATAAGTTATGTGGTTTCTTCATTTTTGATCTAACCAGTTGTAACAAAAGGATCATCATGAGACCTCGGATCAAAGGGATCTCATGTAACCTCGGTAACATTCACTAAAATCATCAACTGGGATACCTTCCATCGCACTGGTAATACTTTGATATTTAATGCTCCCACAAAGTTCGAGAAACCTTACTATCAGCCGGCCTCAGAACCTTTAAACTGAGTTTTAGAGCTACCTTCATTAGGAGATAACAAAAAGAGCTGCTTAGTCACTTCCAAGGATATGCAAACAAAAACTCATGGGTAAAGTCAAGAAGACCAGCCTATTAGATGAAAGTGTGTGAACAGAGATTCTCTGCCTCCCTTTAAAATCTTTTTCTAGGAGGCCTTCAACAAAACAAAAGCCGAATGCAGTTAACATCTGCCCAAAATGAATATTATTATTGAGACACTATCTGTAGCCTTTACCTTAAAGTAGGGTGTATTTTAGATCGGATTCATCATTTGCCTAAAAAAGAATATTTTTTTTATTGAAATTATTTTTATTGTTTAATATTATGTTATTATTCATTTTTATTTAAATTTTTTATTTAAAGTTATTTTATTATATAAAGTATTTTTTGGTTTTTATTTCTAAAATTGTTTTGTTTGTTTTAAAACATTTTAATAAAAATTTATAGACAATCCTTTTTATTTTTTAAAAGATATATTTTAAAGGATATATTTTTCTCTAGGCATGTTGTATGATGATCAGAAGTATGACAGTATTATAACACCTACTTCTGCAAAAAATTTAACGGTTAACATATTTAATGTATCACAAAGTTTGTAAATACAACTTCATAAGTTGCTATCATTTTGTGTTAAAACTAATAAAACTGTGTTTAGGCTGTGTGTTTTTAATTATATAGTTTGTTTTTTCATAAAAACGCATTTTTAAATACAATTTATATAGAAAACCCATTTAAGCGACGTAGCAAATTTAACTAATGTATGTAAAATAAAAATTGGCACAACTTATTAACATATAATTATTAACTTTTAACATATTTTTTGAAGAGGTGCTAAGCAAATAAGCAAATAAAAAAGTTGACATAAAAACAACAAACTTTAAGCAATAAAAAAAGTTAAACATGGAAAATATTTCTGTAATTGGCATACTTGCGTGTCGTCGAAACTAATATTTGAAAAACTTGACATTGATTTTTCTCAAAAACTCTTGGAATATAGTTGGTTAACATTAACGCCACGTAGCGTTGAGACATATAGGGACACTCAAAAAACAAACTTTTGTTGATGCTAAACTAATCATAAGCAACACTATTTTTTATGATTTTTTAAAAAGTTTATTGACATATGTAAAAAAAAGCAACAAAAAAAATTTTAAAAATAAGATTGGACAACCAAAGTAGCAAAACTTCAGAATAGCAAATTTTTTCATTCTTTGCAAATAGGCGGAGCAAAACGGAACAGTTAAAGCACAAGTTATACATTTGATTGCAAACCTTTAAAAATGAAAAAATGCTATCTATCTCTTAAACATGTTAAGATATTAAACTCTTAAATGAAAAATAACATACCCATATAAACTACACGCCCACACCTCATAAATCAAGCAAAAGGCTTTAAATAATGAAAAAATGCAGGCTATTAATAATTTAAACATGTTCAGACATTACACTCTCAAAAAAAACATAACATACCAATATAAACTAAATGCCTATACGTCGCTCAAATTCATGTCAAATGTTTATCAAGTTCATCCAAAATGCTATAACAACTAAAATAATTTTTTTATTCTACTATAAAATACTCTAGCACAAACAAACTTAGGAAAACGATTTAAAAACAAAGTAGTAAAAAATTGGTATATAATACTAAATTTAAAATTTAACAAAAAATATTATTGATCACATAAATCATACAAAAACATTTCTATAACTAATTGGCAGCAACATTGATGAGCTCAAATTAATCATCTTTGTTTTTAGCGTCATTCGACCACAAACCATAACATTCACTCGTTTCTAGTTGAACATTTTTATCGTAAATGAGCGGTCTGTTAACATCTACTCTTTTTTTGAAGCCATCCATAAAAGAACGTCATGCTAATAGGAGGGAGAAAGGGTTCAAAGTAAAAAGGACTAGGGGGAGGAGGTCATCAGTAAAAAATGTAATGTTATAGATTTTTTTATATTTTAGTTTCAATAACATGGAAAACTATGTAAACATGTTTTTTTATAAGTTAACGTCAGGGAACGTAAGGTTTTTATTTATCGTAATTTAAAAAAAACAATTCGTTTTGATTTTTTTTTAATTTTATATTAATTTTGTGTGTGTGTATATATATATATATATATATATATATATATATATATATATATATATATATATATATATATATATATATATTACAATTAATTAAATACGTGTACGTGACAGCAGAGTTGTTAATCCTCGGCCTTGCCTTAAGACTAAAATAATGACCTTGGCTTTTGTCTTGGTCTTAAAAATTTTGGCCTTTGCCTTGATTGTTTTGGCCTTGGTCTTCAAAAAAAAAACATAAAATTAAAGAATTAAAAATTGTCATTCTTTAATTTTATGTATTTTTGTTTTCGGCTTTCATATATATCTACAAGTATATTTTCTCATTTACTTCGTTGAATTCTGCGCGTAACCTTGGTTTATTTTTGCAAAATGTAGTTTTATTGTCACAACACTTGCTACCTACAGTTTTGTTAATATATTGGCCTTAAGGTAAGGTAAAAATTTAAGTCTTTGGTCTTGAGAGTGTTTGCCTAGGCTTTGGCCTTGAAACTCTTATTCTTGGCCTTAATTAACTATTGGCCTTGGCCTTGTCATTGACCTTGTAATTTTTGGCCTTGGTTTTGGCATTGGTCTTGTAACATGTGGCCTTAACCTTGCTACTTTTAGCCTTTTTTTAACAACGCTACGTAATAGAATTATAAGCCCTACTATTAAAGTAGAACAATTACTATTGCCCTACTATTGAAGTAGAGCTATTGGGCTTCAATTCATTTTTTCAATTCATTCAATTCATGGGCGTCACATCATTCAACTTGTTAAACATGTATCTGCTGCCCATGATAAGAGACAATTAGGAGTGTAGCGGTGAAAGCACAACTTTAGATAATAAAAAATTATATTGGACTTTATTAGGCCTTAATATAACTTTTTTTTTTGCCTCTTTAAACTTATTCACTTATAATTTTATAAAGAACCTAAAAGAAAAAGAGAGGCTACCATCTTAGCAGAAGTGCTTCATATACGCGATTGATGTCAAAACAGAGCAAATTGTTTGGAGGAAAGAGACACATCCACACGGTTCTAGTCAAATTGATGCAAGCTCAAAACGATTTTCATTCAAGTCACGTTGATGGTCCATTTTGTACAGCAACTATAAGAAATGTGGAAGAAGTTCGCTCTTTTTTAGGCCCTAATGATATGTGCTTTATAATTCAAGACAATAAAGCTCGGATCCCAATTGGAATTACCATTGCTAACAAACAAGCTTCTATATTAATGCATAACTTCCAGACATGGAGCAAACCTCAAACATTTATATTTTTATACTTATGTCAAATAATGAGACTTTGCAAAAAATTGCGTTGGTTGGAGGCTGGGAACAAAAAAGCCCTAAAATTTTCGTCCCCTGCCCCAAACGTGAGAGCAACAAGTTGATAAAATATTTTTTGTACTATTCTTAACTAGATTTGTATTCATCGATAAATTTTAAGTTTCATAGTAAAATCTCTCAGCTTTTAATAGTTATGAACTTAATTAGTTTCAATTAAATTTTGTAACCCCCTCAATTTGAGGGGGTTACAAAATTTAAACAGTCATAATTTATGAACGCTGAAAGATTATACTATAAAACTTAAAATTTTTCGATGAATATAAGTCTAGTTAAGAATAGTACAAAAAATATTTTATCAACTTGTTGCTCTCACGTTTGGGGCAGGGGGAGAAAATTTTAGGGCTTTTTGTTTCCAGTCTCCAATCATTGCAATTTTTTGCAAAGCCTCAAAAATTGTCTACGCCTCTGAGACAAATACATGCATTTTTAAAACCAGCAACTGAAATAAAAGGAGTTTTAGTTTCCATATTGGCATTATAAAATAACCTCCCTAAAATATCTGATGTTATTCTTCAACTTTGATGATTACGCGTCCATTATGAACAAGTTGCATCAAATGTAGATTTAAATGATTTAAAAAAGCTTACATCCAGATGTTATAATTTGTGTTGTATGCAAAGGAATTTTTTTTTTTTTAATATATATATATATATTTCTCCATCTTCATAATAAATTATTTACAATATTTTTTTTTAAGTTAAGATGTGATGGGAGAAGGCAGAAGACAAAAGTCTTATCATCCAGACCCGTTGTATCATTTACATCAGAGTTGATAATGCCGCCCGGCGGCAAAGTAACTTTCTGCCGAAAGGCCGACTTTTTAGCTGTTGACGGCGGCCTCCCGATCGATTTTTAGCGGCAAAATGTTCTTTCTTCCGCCTCCAGTAGCTTCCGCTTTTCTATTGGCGACCGCAGCCGGAGTTCTTGTTTGGAGGCAAAATGTTTTGGAAGCCGACGCCAATAGAGTGGCAGAAGCCAATGGTGGCCGCCTCCAGAAGAAATTTTGGAGGCAAAGCCATTTGGAGGCCGCCTCCAATGGTTTCTGCCTCCTAACTGGCTGCGGCCGTCAAATTAGAGGCGGAAATATTTGCCTCCCGCCGGCGGATGTAATGAAAAATAAATGCTCGTTTACTTTAAAGCAATTAAATATTAACTAGAAACAAGTGTTAAATACATCAAGTTTCATTTCATAAGATTGTTTGCAAAAAGAACTCCGGCTGCAGCCGCCAATAGAAAAGCGGAAGCCACTGGAGGCGGAAGAAAGAACATTTTGCCGCTAAAAATTGATGGAGGCAGCAGCCGTCTGCTGCAGAAGAAAAGTGGAGGCAAAAAGATTTACGCCGTTTATCAACACTGATTTACATACAGAAGCGATTCTAGGAATAAAAGGGGGGTGAATCCTCAAAAAGTACCTATTGGCTTCTAAAAAAAAAAAGAAAAAAACGGAAATTTAACCGACAGAATTGTGTCAAATACCCGACTAGCCAACTAAATTCGTTAAAAAAACGACTATAACTTGAAAATCGCCTTCTTCTGTAAAATAAAATAGCATTTGAGATACGTCATAATTAGGTAACTGTTTTTTTTAAAGGTATTTTTAAAAGTTTGAGTTAAAATTGTAATTTTGCTATTATTTGGGAGAAATGAGTTTCATAAATGTGGCCTTCGGTAAGTTATTAAGATTTCGGATTATTTTAACAAAGTTTTTAATACCTGATAATTAAGCAACGAATGCTTTGCTTGATACCTATGATCTATACTAAAAAAAAGGTCTTCAAAAATTTTAGGCTGCATATGATATTTTAATCTAAACATGAATAAAAGAATATTAATAATAATTTTTTTGTTGATATATTTCTTTTTATTATTAATTTTATATGATTCATACGATTGAGTAATACTCTTTAATTGTTATTTTTAAATTATACGCTTTATTTAATAAACTTAAAAACTGTCAAATTTTAAGAAGTTATAAATTCTAAAACTGCTGCAATGGATCCAAGTTGAAAATAATAAACATTGCTATTTTATTACCTTAATTGAAAAGGGGAATAATTGAAAGGTTTTATGTACACCTGCTTCAAACTATTTTTTTTGTTGTCCATAAAATGATTCTTCCATTGATTTGATGTAAGATAAATGATTTTGTTCAGCTACAGTTTGACAAAACTTATTTTAAAAATGTGATGAGCTACTATTTATATCTAAATCAGCTAGATTATTGGAAAT